TAATAAGATATTTGCCCTGAGGGCATTAAAAAAGCCCCTAACTCAGGAGAAGATGCCAGTTGACTTCAAGGAGTTAGCCGGGGGAGGTGTGCGTGAGAGAAATAAAGGTCAAGCACTTAAAAGCCAACGGGCTAATTGTGGCTTGAACATTTCTTTCTGTTTGTTTGGATCCGATGTTTAAAATCATTGGCTTCAAATTCGTGTCATTAGTGCACAGAAGTATTTTACAGTGAGGGCTGAGAGCAATAATCATGGTTAATGTCATTTGTCATGGAACTGCAAATAGCCTCTCAACCTGGCCTACCTAAAATGAAGTGTCTCTTGCTAGGCCAAGCCAGTTGTTCCCTGGACACTGGATGAAGTTGCTTTCTGCTTTGTAGATTTTTGCTCTATTGCATTTGCAGGTGCCTGATACTTGCTCAGAGGCTGCAAATAATCAGAATTTATCTGAATAAAATTTTCCTGACTCTTCTGCCTGAATGTTCTCACTCTCTGTTCCCAGCCAAAGTGCCTTTCCAGTTCTTTTCCCTCCATTTCTGCATAGTTCATTGCCCTGATTCCACCACCGGGGCACGACAGCTTTGTTCAGTGTCTTTCTCTTGTCTGTACACATCTGTTTAGGCCAGTGGCTTTCAGGCTGTGGCACAGGGAGTCTCGGTCTGTGGGAAGAGGAGGTCACCACGGTTTGCCTCTCTGGTTCTGTGAGATGTCACCAGGTAAAGCACACTTTATTAAGTCTGGATTTCCTAGCACATGCCCTGCGCTCCCTTGTAAAACTTTTAAGGGCTGGAAATCCCAAAAGCATTGCCACAAGTTGCATCGTGGAGGAGGAGGAGGAACTGCATGCTGCACAGCTCCGACTCTGTGGGCATGTCCCAGAGCAGCTCCTCTGGCACACACTCATCCCAAGCAGTCTCTCATGCAGCAGCCAGCCATTTCCCTTTTTCATTTAGAAGTCACCCAGATGGTAGCGTTGCTGATGTGCTGCTAACAGAACAACTGTCACAGTGGTGGGGTGCTCAGTTTGGGTTATTTTAGCCCTGGGTAGCCAGGTGAGGCAGAGGCACACAGGAACGCGCTGTGCAATACCAGCATTAAAAACAAAAATCCTCTTAAAGCAACCAGTAGTTCTTCCTGGGGAAACATCCCAAGGAAACATAACAAGAAATAGAAAAAAATGGCTCCGCAACAGCGCTCAGGGAATTTTTCTTCCCGAGTTGCTGATTATGTCGGTATGGATAAGGGGGAAATAGGGACGCTCCCTGCTGTTCTTGGTTAACTGTACCTACACGTGCTGTGGAGCAGAACTTTCCCCAGCACCAGTTGCATCTCCACGGGGGTCTCTTACCTTTTGGCTTTGGGCTCTGCTGCTGCTGGGCAAACACACAATGCAAAACACTAGCTCGCTGCATCCCCTACAGCTGATTATTTGGCCTGCGTTTGTTTGCTTGGTCACTGTAATGGCCATCACGTTGTACTGGCTGTCCGAACGGACCTCGCTGGCTGTGGAGAGCTCTAGAAGCAGATATCTCCAGGCAGAGTTCCTCCTCCAGTCCTGCTCGCTGCTCTCAGCAGGGGGTTAAGTGATGAGCTCTGCCATGCCCCTGCACTGTCCAGGCTGGCCCCTCCTCAGTGATGGTGTTTTTTGACATACACAGCGGTGAGATCTGCTGCAAGGCAACCGAATCAACCAGCTGAAGCTGCCGTGTGGCTGTCTGTGTGTAAGGCTGTCTGTCTGTCCATCTGCCCGCACACCCAGGGGCGCAGCGCCGTGCCAAGCAGGTGCCCAGGGCTCCGTTTCCCCTCTCCCCCAGCAATGTCCCACCAGGTGCAGTAAACCGTGCCCGACACCAGACCTTAACTCCTCAGGTCATGCTAGATCAAGGGCTGAGAGGCCCAGGATGCGATTTTGCTGTTTTAAGTCCCAGAGAGGCTCTAGGGCTGTACATCTGCACGTCTCCCTCTACCTAGGGATGATGAGAAATTCTGCCCCAGCCGGTGCTGAGCAGGCGTTTTGTGGACGCCGTTCATCCAGCGAAGCCCAGTGCCCTCCCACGCTGCGCTCAGGCCTATGAATATTCGCCTTTCCTTTTCCCCACCTCTGTATTTAGGAAACAGTAGGGGTAGCTCCATCACTGAGGCATCAGAAGGAGCCGGTTCCCCCTGTACTTTTGATGTTTGGAGCTGCAGTGATTTTAAAGGCTGCTCAAAACAGAGTTTACTGGGGATGTATAAATCTTTGCTTTAAATCCACTGTAAATACGTTACGGAATCTGCCAAACATGCATTAAAATATTTTGCTACAGATATGCCTATGTCTAACCTTTTGGTTTCTGAGAGCTTTAATCAGTAATCTTCAAGTAGGAAGTTATTCATCTTTATTGCCAGGCAGTTCTCAGTGGTGGTCGTGGCAACAATCTTTTCATTGCTTCTGTGTTTAGTTGTTCTTTGACATGATAGAAGTCAGCTGCAGTTCAATGAGCTCACTATTTGTGCAACTTAATTGCTTGCTTCCTTTAATATGTACTCAATTTTTCCTTTTATGAGCAGGGTTGTTGGAAAAATTAAGCTTAAGGATATAGCTATCCACCGTTAATTAACCTCCTTCCCAAACACATTAGTAAAATAGGTCAAATGGCTGTTGAGTGTTAAGTGTACCATTACTAAGGTATTTCTCAGCTGAAAGGGAACCATGTATTGGATAAGACAGGAGTCTCCAAAGGAGCTTCGAGGATTTAGGTGTCTGTATCGCCCTGAAATTCAATTAGATCCGAGTGCCTAATTCCCTTAAGCTGGATTTTACAAAATCTCATAGGACTGTGTGCTAAGGAGTTTTGATATGGTGCACATTTAGCGCATAGTTGCTTAAAAAGAGACCGAAACCACTTTCTTTTCTTGCTGTTTAATTAAGCTCAGTAGAATCTTGGGTTGCACTGGGATGTGTGATCCGTGCAGGCGTGCACCCCAGCAGGCAAGAAGAGGGAATCTGTTTCTTCTTACGGATCTATGCTCTGCGTTAGCGAGGGTACCGCGTGTGTTTGTGCTTTCAAGAATGGCTAATATTATTCAGACTCGACATTCCGAGAATAGCTTTGATATGTGAGGATGTATAAATAGTTTTGATGAGTATAAAATATGCTCGGTGAGGGAACTGATCTATCAGAACAGCTTTATGCAGTGATAGTGTAATTTCTTTCCATGTCAGGGATATATTCGGATGGAAAAATCACTTTAATTGCCGTGCTGATAGCTTGATTGGAATTTGGCCAATTTCTCCCCAAAACTCTGCATTAATTTAAAAATCACATTTGGAAATGTGAGTTCAGTTGGAAAGTCCTTCATTTTTTTTTAAAGACGTATATTTTACGAAGGGATGGATAAGGTTTAAGAAAAATGGAAGTTGGAAGAGTTCCCGCTGGGAGATAAAGGCTGTGTTTTGTTATGATTACATCTCCCAATCGCAGTTCCCAGGCTAAGTCGGGAGACTTATTCTAGAAGCCAGTGGGACTTCCCACATGTGTAAACTCTCCTCGTCCAAATATTATTGTGTGTTCCTGTAGTGGCCAGCCAAGATCAGAGTCCTCTGTGCCAGGCATGGTCCATGCGTGCAGGAGGCGATCCCTGTCGCCGAGAGCTTAGAGCCTGAGGAATAAACGGTGAGGAAGGCATCACCCCTGCCTCTTTAATAGAGAGGGAGCAGAAGAGGAGGGACAAAACGGGCAAGGATTTTGCCACACTGTTTTCCCCTGCTGATACAGCTTTATAAGGGGCTTGGTACGACGCAAGGAAGTGAAAAATGAGTGTATTGATGGAGGCTGGGCTCTTGGTTTGAAATGTCTTCCCAGTTGGCCAAAGCCAGGGGCAGTGGAAAACGTCTGGCTTCCAGGATGCAAGCTGGAGCTGTGCAACACACTGCCTCTTTCTTTTAGATCAGATCAGAAGGCAGTCAAAAGGACATAAGGTGGGTATAAAGGACATCTCTGCCAAAAACCCAGGCCCTTTTAGCCGCTGAGAGTGGTATAATGGGGCCTATAATAAATGAGCATTAAGTCCTTATTTAGAGAGATGCATTGAAATCGCTGACACGCTGCCAACCTGATACAAGCATCAGGAAATCACATTTGTTCCACGCGGCCAAAACCCACAGAGAAGCTCCATGAAGCACTTAATTTTTTAGTATGGCTGTAAATAACGTCGTGGAGAAGGAATACAGAAGTCCAGCGGGCAACGTAAAGGCTCCTGGCGACGTGTTTTCCCCCCTCCTTCGGAGCCCTTCGTCTTTGTGCTTCGGGATCTGAGATCATCCCCGATGGAAATGCACCTGCTGGTACGCCCAGGGCAGCTGAGGAGCTGCTGCAGGGCAGGTGAGAGCCTCGGGCACTGAAAAGGGCTGCGGAGCCGCTGGTTTCGGGCTGCAGCGAGCTGATCCGAGAGCATACATCACACGCTGCTGCTGGGAGCGAGAGCCGCAGCCTATTTCTAGCTCCGGGACGCCAGGCCAAGAAAAAGCACCGGGAATTGGCGGTTTCTCCTGCGCTTATACATCTTCCTAGGAAGGAAAGCAGCGCGGGGATTCCCGAGCTGGAGAAAAGGGTGGTGGCACTTGGCCGTGCCGCGGGGAGGAGCGGAGCAGCCGTGGCGTGGTGCTGGTGTGGGGCACAACCCAAGGGCTGAGTGTCCTGAGCTCTTCAGCCCGGTGACCGGCACCAGGGTGGCTGTTGTGCTGTGAAGCCCGTCGCCCAACATGATTTTCTGTGTGGCCAGGAGGGCTGGAGACCAACGTGGGGACAGGCTGAAGGACCAGGCTTGGCAGCAAGGCCTTGCTGGGTGCCTGGGATTCGTGTCGCAGGCCAGAAGGTGGCACTGCGGATACTGCCTTGGAGAGGTCCCCTCCGCGCCCGGCCAGGGAGGAAAAGTGGGGGAAATCTGGCAGTCAGGAGACGCTGCCTGGCACAGGGGACGTGGAAGGGCAGCAGGGCTCCGAGCTGAAAGCCACGAGCAGGACTGGGCCAAGCTGCAGGCTGGGTGTGAGTGGTGGGAGGGCGCAGGGGGCATCCCGGTGTCTCATCGTCCCCCTGAAAGATTTTTGTCCCATTCTTTGCAGAATCAAAGTGCCAAACCTTGAAAGTCACAGTTTTATTGTAGGCTCCCAGAGCAAATGAGCTCGGCAGGAGGTTTGCAGGGCGAGTGTTACAGAGGGGCTCTTGGCTTTGGCTGGGCAGTGTACAAGACTTGGTTGCTTTGAGCTGGAAATGGGCAAAACTTTGCTTTTCTGCCCTTCTGGGGCTGGCCTGGCTGTGCTGGGCTGGGACAAGGGCTCCTACCTCTCACGTTGGTTTCTGCCAGCAAATTCTCAGCTTTTTTCAGTGACGTTCAACAAGGGACAAACCAACAGGCTGCAGGAACAGGAGGCTGGCTTGGGAAGGAAGGAGCAGGTGAGCGACTTGCCTCGCTGTCAGCTCTGCTGATGCTCAGCGTGCCTGGGGGTTGTGTGCCTGGCTTCCTCACCCCGAAGAAGCATTTACAGGAGGATTTTGTGCTCGGCTCAGAGGAAACCCTCCTAAGGACAGTGTGATTGGAAAGGAGTCAGGAGGCCAGTGGGCGATGCATCATCCCCATGACTTATTCCTCCCCCAGAGTTTCTCTAAAGTTTCCTGCCAGAGCTCATGCGCCCCGAGGAGCTTTTTCTTTCTTCGTACCTTCACCCCTTCGTAGCTACTTGGGCAGGTGTCCTGGGGCTTTTTGTGCCTGGGGATGGAGCTTGGCCGCTTGGTGCTTGCATCCCCGCAGGGCCCAGCTGGATTAAACCACGAGGGGGGCACATTTCCCTTTTGCCGCCCTGCTGCGAGGAGTAGCTGCCAGCCCAAGGCCAGTAACAAGCACTCGGAGGGCAGAAACTCGCAGGCGAGGAGAGGAAGGTACAAGAAAACTGCACAATCAAAGGCACCAGGAGTTTTTGGCCTGGCAGCATCAGCCCCTCCACATGCAGGGCTGCAGGGGGGGAATAATCCAGGCTCTTGTCTCCGTGTGAAGGCAAATGCCTCGTCGCTCCTGGCAGGTTTTGTCTGCAGACACTGGCTTGAGTACCCCGTAATTACGTCTTCGCGTTGTTTAATATAGCAACACGGAGCCGGGCTTGTGGTAGAGAGCCAAGCGATGCCTTTGGGCCGTGAGGACTATAAATACCCTAAGGGATCATTTTATTTGGTCGTGGAAGGAAGAAGCTTCTTTCTTCAGCAGTTGCTGTACAAACACAGCTTCGGAGCAAATAAAGGAGGGTTCTTATTTCCATACGTTAGGGAGATACCCGGGGATCCAGCAAAAACGCCCGAAAGACAAAAAAAAAAAAAAAAGCCTCGAATTACATTTCTCTACAGAAGGCCTTCGCGCACTGTCAAGCTGTCCAAATTACAGCTTTGTTTTCATTTTAGTTGTGGCAATTATTGTGCTTTGGTTAAAAATACCACTCGGTGTCAATTTTAAGCCCTTGGTAGCAAGGACCGGCTTAAAATAACCGCGGGTGCAGCGCCAGGCACCATAGGGCCTCGGCTGTGCTGGAGGCCTGGAGGCACGACTGCCGTAGCCACAGCCAGGGCCTGCTTTGTGTAACGAGATGCAGCTCCTCCGCCCGAGATCCTGCCACTACGAGCCTCGAAAGCCACGATTCCTCCTCACCCTCTGCAGCTGGCTCCTTGGCTTGGTGGCGTGAGTGGTTTTGGATGGTGCCCGGGCTGCCCCATGCCCTGCGTGGTGCTCGGCTTTGGGGTAGAGTTCCTGTGCCCTGGCGTCGGGGCCGGGTGCTGGTTCTGCCACGAGCAGTTTGTGGAACTTGAACGCAGCTTTTCTGGCCATAAAGGAAGATGCTTGGAGGGATTACAAAGGTTTTTTGGGCATCTGCAGAGGTTACGAACCAGAGAGAGCTTCCTTGGAGCAGGACGCCTGGCGTGTCTACGGATTTGTTAGTACATGTGACAAAACTAAACCCAGTGGGGCCATTCCTACCCCCTTTTTGTGGATACAAAATGCGACCAAAGTGAGCTCCGACCCTGATAACCCAGCAGGTGAGAAGCAGTTCCTGCAGCCTTCCTTTTTTCCCGTTGGAGAACGTTTCCTCCTGCACGTGCTGCAGTTCTTCGCGCAGCAGAGAGCCCGACCCAGCGGCTCCATTCCCGCAGGGAAGGCGCTGCTCCTACAACGGCATTGCTACAAAAAGCTACAACTGCACGATTAACCTCAAATAATGGCACTGCCAGATCGTTCCTAATATTTTTTTTTTTCAGATAGGTGCAGCAGTGTGATGGATCTGATTGGGTGTACGTTTCGCTGCGGCACCTTCACAGCGGCGGCGTCCGTCACGAAGGACAACGTCGGACGAAGCAGCGGGGCGCTCCCTCGGTCGCGATGGGGCAGGGCTGGAAAAAGCTCCCATTGTTTCCACGGCCATATCGACCGCAGCCTGCACAAGGCCCTCTTGATGAAGCGACCTGGCAGCGGAACAGCAAGTTCTTGTTAACCATACACGCCAAAAGGCCCTAACACAAACAATCCCCATTATAAATTAGGCCTTTTACAAACAATATTTCAAGAAACTACTTGTCCATTTTCCATGCCATTATGCATTTTTAGGATGATTACATGTTGCTGCTGGATAATGGCCTTTTGCCAAGGGCAAAATGGGGTTTCAATAGGACTCATTATGTAGTGAAAAGTTTTTCTATTCCTACCCCCTGGAAGGAAAAAGCCACTCACAGATAAAGCTCGTGATATAATTGCGTTGCTTCAGATAACCAGCGACATGACTTCCCAATTGATAAGCGCTTGTTTTTATCCTTCCTTAATCTCACAGGCCTCTTGTTGTCTTTTAATAGGAAGCGGTGGCAGCTGCGAAGGCCACTTGATCATTTGGCTCTGAGCAGAGTGCGAGGCTGCCCTGCTGATAAAAGTCAGGACAGCTCCAGCCATCGGGATCACTGTTAGGGCAGAAAGTGCTGGCTGCAGGGGCAGGCTGTGCCAGGCAGCTTTGCAGAGCACTGCTAAGTGATTACGTGCCATCGCAAACCTTCCCCTTCTCCCAGTTTGTTATAATGAGCTACATCCTGGCCCTCTCTTGAATTAAGACCTGTTCATGTCCGTGGGGGGACGTGAAATGCTGGGCTTTCAAAATCGGGATGTCAGGGTTTGGTCCTGCAGGGGGCTGGAGGACAATAGGAGGGGTCCAACCCTTGGATGCTGGTGCAGAGTTCAGCGGTGGCTGCTGTCACGGAGCAGCTACACAGCAGCTTTATGGCTGGGGTCCTGGCAAAAGCAGAATTTTCCTTGGGAAATAAAAAAAAAAAAAAAAAAAAAAAAAAAAAGTGGCTTATAGCCTGATCTGGGCTCAGTTTCCAGTCCTCTCTTGGACTCCATGGTTTTGATCAGTTGCTCACTGCTGTAGTTTCCCGCCTGAAAAATTGAAATAGAAACAATTCCTTCCTTTTGGCCAACTCTTAGGATCGTAGGATCTTAAAATAAAGACTCTGTCGTCTGTACAGAACATCAGAATCAACAGGCTTTCTCCGTCCCAGCTGAGCTAGTGAGATCTGTTTCTCCGATCTCTGGCTCGTGTGCCCAGCTTTGCTAGTAAGGATGCCCATCGCTCTCCATTACACGCTGCCCCCGTCGTTACTGCAGGAATTCCATCAGAAGGGCACAAAGTGACTTGCTGGGAGAACAAAAGCCATGATTCTAAAATCACTGCTTACTAAAAGCAGCTTTCGAGGTCCCTAACTGAGGTGAGGCAAAGCTGTGAGGAGCCAGGAGATCTGAGGGCGGGGGTGGCTCTGGGGACGGCAGCTCCTGTCCGAGTTGAGCGTGGTTTGTGTAAGACGTGCAGGAGTGGGAAAGGAAAAAGGGGTCCTGGGATTCGGGTAGCGAGATGGATCCTTGCTGCTGCCACTGTTTCCTTGTACAAGGTGGATGCTTTTACCATTTTTCATCTGAAAGCCCTAAAGACGTGCCGGTGTTTTACTGGGTACTCCTCTGGGCTCTGTCTCCGTTGCTGGTGAGCTCAGTGCTCCACACTGTGTTAATCAGAAATGCTGTAAAATGCAAAGTGCTGAAATATCACGCCATGGAGGTGCAGTATTTTTGACCTGTGGCGATGTCCTCCCCGTTCCCTGCTCAAGAGGGGAATAATTCCACCTGCTTACACCTCAGAGGAGACACAGACGTGAAAAGCTCAGGTGGAATTAGGGTGCTGGGTCAGAGAAAAAGAGGAAAATGATAGTTTGGAGGGTGGGCAGATAGAGAAGTGCAATACCCGAGCAATTCTTGTGCATTACAGGAGAAAAGGGAACGGGTCGGGCTGGGTTGTGCACCCGAGCAGACAAGGGAGTTGAAAGCTGGGTGTGGGAAGTCAGCTTTTATTCTATTTTACAAAATAGATGTGTTTTATATAATATATATTACATAAATATGTGTATGTTGGAAGTATACATTTACACATATTGAGGATAAGAGAGATAAAAACACACATAAGCAGAAAGAAACGTGTGCCCAGTGGGGATTATGAAGGATTATGAAGGACTGTTCTCTCCTCGTTGTAGGTGCAGACAGACGGCACCAGGTGTGGGTAGTGCGAGGAGGGACGGACCCACGCAGGCACGGCAGCTCCTGCCTCCTCCTGCGGGCAGACTGAAGCTCCGAGTGCAGGTGAGTCAGGGTAAGGTGAGGAGCCAAGGGCGTGCCAGTGCCGCAGGCGTTGCCACAGCCTGGCGCAGCCAAGTCACGTAACCCTGCTCCTGGCTTTGCCAAGCTCCACCTGGCAGGGCCGTAGAGCTCCCAGAGGAAGGAATCTGCTCAGGGCTGCGCGGGGCTGGCAGAGAACACTTCTCAAAAGCCCTGATAAAAGCAGCCACGCTCGCAGGCGCAGCGCAGAGCTCCCCAAAAGGCTGCTAAACCCATTAGTCATTAGGCATCTCATTGCCTCTTTTCGCCTAGCACTCAGCTGACCTCTGATAAACAATATTTGTGTTCAGAATAACGGGGCACGCATCGAAACAAGCACTGACAAAGTCTAATGGTGAGTGACTTCTTGCCCAAGGGCACGCAGGAAGGCAGCGACCTGCCTTGCCATCAGCCCTCAGCCATTCCTTCCTGTGAGGGGCATGCTTCACCCCAGTGCTTGTGCTCCATGTGCCAGGAATGAAAAGGAGGAAATCCTTCCCCAGTCCTGGGAACTGGGGACTCCGCTGCCTGCCCTGGAGATGGTGGGAAGGCTCATTGTCTTCGGCGAGCTTGGCGTGGAGCCGCTGTCAGGCTCTCCCACAGAGCCTGTGGGGAAACCGCAGGGCAGAGGGAGGGCCTGCAGCTGGAAAATGCACTGAGAGAATGGGAAACGAGGGGAGAGGAGAAGTGGCACTGCCTGGGCAGAGAACAGCCCTCACTGCTCTACCCGCTGCCCCTTGGGGATGGCAGCCACACGCTTCTGGCTCAGTCTTTGGATGTGGGGCTCTGTCCAGCTCCGCCGAACAAAGGGAGCCATGTAGAAACCCCGAGCCTGAACTTGGGGAGGAGGAGACCCTTTTGGCAAAGGAAGAAGGGAGGGTGTCCAAAAAGACGCTCCAGAAAGTCGGGTATGAGATGTGCCACTGAGACTGGAAGGCCCGGGGTGCTGTCTCCTTGGTAGTCTGCGGAGCCAGATGGTAGAAAGAAAAGGATATTATTAGAAAAAGACGCTTTACTGGGGACGAGGGCAAGAAAAACTGAATAGAAAACAGATTGCTTCAAGGCATTTGAATTCTCTGCCCATTTTTGGTGGCAAAAAATTACCTACAGGATGTTGACAAGCTAGGAAAAGCTCAGGCAACCCAACGAATAATAAGCCCTGATAAGCAGCCACCTCCCCTCGGACCCCGTGTGCCTCACCGACGGGAATTCCAGTGAAAATCATCACTACTGCTCTGAGTGCTAATCTTCTGGAGCTGTTTTGAAACAAGGTCTGCTGCAGCTTTACGTAGCCAGCTGAGCAGATGATGTGAATAAAAGAAATGAGGCACAGATCAAAAAAGTCGACGTGGTTTTGGCTTTTCATTTTACCTCTCCGTCTTTTACCCAGATGTGGCTGCGGGTAGGTATCGGCCAAGAAATCGCAGGTGGCATGGTTATCTTGCTGTTTACTGGGCGATGATGCTGCTACCAGCTATTCAATAATAGGAAATGACTAATGATGTGGTGGAAATTATGAACCAGGATTAATAAAACTTGAAAAGGAACAGTCTGGGCTGTTTGATCCTCTGAAGAGGAAGTCTGTCTGTGTACGAGTCTTTTTTCCCTGAGGTGATGTTCTTATTAGTCTGATCCGAGTAGGGAGCAGAAGGAGCGGAGTTTGGAAGTGGCTTAAAGAGAAGACGGTGAAAGAGGCCACGAAGTATTGTTGAAAAACACCCCTGGGTGCCAGGCTTTGTCCTAATGCTGCCTGGCACGAGGGTGCTGGGAAGTCCCAGGAAGGCAGCTCGAGCCTGCGTGTCACGTGCAAGTGAAAAGGAATTTCTTGGAGAGCTGCATCTGACTCGGGTCGGATTTTGCTGCTCTTTCTCCTGCCGAATAAATCCTCCTGGAGTCGTTTTGCTTGACGAGGGACTGCGGTGCCCGGCCGCTTTGGTGCTGCTCGCCTCCAAGTGCCGTGGAGGAGAGCTGGAGCCTGGCAGGTGCCATGATTTGAAAGCAGATAAGGGTGCTTAAAATAGAGTTTTTCCCCCGATCCTGTCCCCCAGGCTCCGATGGCCTTGTGGCAGGGCTGTCTGCAAACCACTGAGGTGCTGCAGGAGGGCAGCGGGGCTGGAGGGTAACGGGGAGCTCTTGCGTGGAGGCTGGGGGAATTCAGTAGGGTGCTGAGTAATGGTGCTGAGCGGCCTGTGAAGTCTGATGGTACGTGAAGGAAATGTCCTCTGGGTCCTCCCAAAATAGAGCCTGCTGTGTGTTTGAGATTACAGCGATCTGAGTTCAGTGTCATCCTGTCTAGGCCCATGTTTCTGCCAAAAATGATGCCAGAATTTGGTCACCTTGAATCCTCCGTTTTTATTATTATTATTATTATTATTATTATTATTATTATTATTATTATTATTATTATTATTATTATTATTATTATTATTATTATTATTATTATTATTATTTCCTTTCTTTATCCCTCCTTTGCTTTGCCACTGTGTTGGGTTGGTTTGAGGGAAACAGGCACTAGCCTGGCACGTGAAAATGTGAACAAATGCAGTGGCTTTCACTTAAACCAGCTGATCTCTGGGCTGTGCTGGGCCAAACTGGGGAGAGGAGGGGAGCCAGGAGGACTGGGAGAGAAAAATCAGGGGGGAGGACCTGCCTGGCGTCCCCTTGCCCCAAAGGCAGCTCTGGCTGTGGTACTGAGCAGTGCTGAAGCATGGCCCAAAGCACTGGCCTGCACTGGCCGAGACAGCAGCGATTTTTTATTTATTTTTTTCTCTGACACTGTGGGCACGTGGAGCTTTAACGGCGTGGTTGTCTCCAAGCTCATCAAGTGCCCCTCTCCTCTCCCATCTCTTCCACTGTCTCCCAGTCCTTTCCCCTTTGCCAGCTTTCTTTTCCTCCCTCCTCCTCTGGTTTCCTCTTACTCTTCCAAATAATTTATGTTTTCAAGTGAAGCTCAGCTATGCGACTGGTTTTATATTTATAAATTGTACGAGGCTGACCCTCTCCTTACCTCTGAGCTGGTATTTTTAAAAGCCCCATTGTTTCCCACTGCTTTCGAAGGTTAAAAGTCCAACCTCATTACGAACGCGGTGCATATGTTGTTGTTTAGTGTTCTATCAGCGTTACCCCAAACCCCACGGCCAGCCCCAACGGTGCTGGGCTGTGTCTCACGTCATCGTGCGGGTGGGCTGGAGGCACCGTCGTGTTTTTCAAGACGTTAAATCCTGGCCCCGGCTTTGCAATATCCGAGGATCTTCCTTTTGTCTTTTTGGTATCAGAAAGCGTTTGCACTCTCTGCTTGGGCAACACAAAGAAACACTCAGTGCCTGAAATCCCATAATCAGCTTTGATCATGCTGCTTTTGGGAAAGTCAGGACAGATGACTTGGTCTTGGTGGAATGTTCCTCCCTGCAAATGCTTTTGAAGTCCTTTTTCGTATTATTTCCCTCTTGATTTAAACTGACCTACAAGATTCCTGTCGCTGGTGTCTTATTCAAAAGCTGTGTAAAAAGTTCCTCTTTTCCTTAGCTCTTTTGCCCGTTTTGCATGGAGGATTTTCTTGACACCAAGTTCTGTACCTACAACGCGAACAGAAACCTGCCAAATAATGTGCTCAAAGTGCATTTACAGTGTTAAACGTGTGTTTTTCTAGTTCATCAACAGGAGTTCCTAATGCTGAATTCTTCATCGCCTGAAGGCTGAGCTTCTGTGCAGAATGGATGTGGTCCTCTCACGCTTACGTGACACTTATATCTGTGCAAGAATATCCAAAATACACCGTGAATGGTCCCCCAACAGAAAGTGAGTGATGAGTCCTTGATGGTGTTGGACAAGATGTTGCTTAGTATAAGCCATAAAGAACGCCTGTAATGTCCTGACAACATTGAGGTGAGTATCTGGCTACAGGAGATCAAGCTCAAAGACAGTGTGGGTGACTCTTATCCCTAAAGGTAAGGCGGGGCATCATTTTTTATCTGCTAACAACAGTAATAACATCTTTATGTTGCTCCTTCATCCCCAAACGCAGTCTGAGCTCAGCAGTGGTTCCCTCCCTTTGTTCTTCCCATAGAGCAGAAGTTTCTGCAGCACAATGCCCACTCTTTGCAGAAACAGATGCTCAAGCTATTTGTTTTTCTTCTTTTTGCTCGAAGTTAGATGAATATAATGTGCTCTTGTGTTGTAAAAGGTTGTTTTTGTGTCTCCCAGTCACGTTTCAGTATCAGCAAATATTTTAGATATGAGTTAAGAGAGGTACCCCACTGACAGAAGAAGGCTGGCTGAGCTTGTAGTATCACATCGTAAATTCCCTCTTCTGCTATGAAAATGTAATAAAATATGTGGCACGGCAGATTTACAGTGACAATGCTGCTGCTGTGCTAAGGCAACTATTTTATCTCTTTGTTTTAAAGCAGCTTTTACTGTACTACACACAATGAGTACTTCCTCCAAGAAACAATGCCTACAAGCTCGAGATTAATATAAATATGATCTCATGGTGACTCTTCATTAACTTCTTACACCATTATCTTCCTGCTGCTAATAAATTTTAGGAGCTAAATTTACATGCAAAAGTTTTATTTCAAGTATCATTATTCTTAGCTTATCGTCAGCCTGGTAGTGCCCCCACCCAGTTACATCATCCTTGGAAAAATTGAGTGCAATATGTCTTTTATAGGCTTACTGCACTATTACATTTGCAAGGCTGACCACACACGTGCAGTGAGCTTCCCAGCGAGCTGCAGCCCCGTCCCGCTGGGTGATGCAGGTTGGCAGGGTCTTCCTTGCCTGAAGGGCTTTATCAGCACAGGTTGATTCTCTGTAGGGTTGTGGGGGCATGCATAAGGCAGGACACGCAGGTCTGTAGGTAACACGGCCCACGTCCCCAGGTAAATCACTTCACCTGTTGTATTTTCTGTCTCTAGGAGTTGTCTCTGGCTGTGTGCTTGCAGAATGCCTTGTCCAGGTGCATCTTACCTTCTCTCTTCCTTTTTTGTTGTTGGGTTCTGACTTGGAACAGGAAGGTTGAGATGACAGCCTTTAATATTAACCAAACTTGAAGGCCTTTTCCCTCTTCCACTGTTAGATTGTCACGGAGGTGTCAGAGCTTGTCTGGTGGTGCTGCTGATCCCCGTTCAGCAAAGCATTTAAGCATCTGTGCGTGTCTGTTACAGTCTGTGGCCACTCATCCTGCAAACTGCAGGGAGGTGTTACTGCAGGAGCGAGAAGGAAAGAGAGATATTACTCCTGATTCTACTTGGGTATTATTGAACAAATAAAACTCTGCGTATTCTAGGCTGCTCACCCAAATATTCCTACAGATCATAAACTTTCAGAGGGCAGGTGGGGACAGCAGCTGTCATTTTCTTTTCATGTATTACCTTGATGCTAGAGAACCTTTTCCAGGGATCTATAGGCCAGATAAATATAGATCCTGCCATGCTAGATGCCAGCTACTGTGGTTTGGTTTGGTTTTATGGTTAAACAGCATAGCAACATCTCTTATGGGAGGTTTAATGTGAAATTCTACATGCAGTTAATTAGTAATAATTAATAGCACAAGTAGGTAGGTGAGAACTTCACTACTGAATCCAGGAGCAGGAAGGTTTCGTTGTGATGCTGTTGCTGTTTTCATACTTAGGGAGTGTGGATATATTTCATCCAGGTCACTTTTTCCATGGACAAAAAGATCTTTGGAATTTTCTGTAGCATGCTCATTGGATATACAAAAGGTAACTTGCTGTAGATTTTTCTGACTCTTCTTCTGTTAAGAAAATAAATTTTAAGGAATCTAGGATTTAAGGAATTTAAGATTTTTAAGGAATCTCTTCTGTTGCTGTAACGATTAAGGGAATCATAGAATGGGTTGGGTTGGAAGAAGCCTTAAAGATCATCTAGCTCCAGTCCCCTGCTGTGGGCACAGATGCCACCTACTACTTCAGGTTGCCATAATTCCCATATCCCATGATTCTTATGATGGACTTTAATTTGTTAATTCCTATTTATGTTGGTGCCTCAGTATAATGGCAGTGATAAAATTCAGGAGGCTTATGGCTCCACGCTTCACAGAGACACAAGGGAAATGAGCAGATCTCATGGATCGTGTTTTTAAGTGCTCACCAGGAATTTTTGCTTCTTTGTCCAGAGTACACTTAGGAACTGTCCAACTGCTCCCTCTCCATGCCTCTAGCTCCATGATACAGCTGGGCTGTCAACGCCTAGATAACTCCCAAAGACTAGAAGATGGCTAAAGCCAAGCTAACCATATCCTGCTACTTTTCTTCTCTGCTGTTGAGCCGGCTGAAGAGGACTTTTTGGAAGAACAGCAAAGGAGTCTGCAGTATTAACCTCAGAGGCTGTGATCCCTATAATTCTTAGATAAAGATTCTCACATGTTGTCATGGGAAAAAAAGGCAGAGGAAACAGCAATTGGAAGAGAGAAAATTAGCTACACACATCAGAATCTTCAGAAATTCTTGTCAGATTAGAAATACGTGTTGCGTTGACAGGCTTGTGATCCTTCCTCATTTTACATGTTTGGGAACCTCCCAACGAGGGGTGAAGGGGATCGCCATGGAATGATGGGAGAAGAAGATAAAAGCAGACATGGAAAGTGCTTGCCTGCTCTGGAGAGCTTTCTACCCAGTAACACAGACATGGCCTTGAGTAATGAAAAGCCCGTCTCTTTCAGGATTACATCAAAACAGCTGCAACAGCTTGCATTTCACCATTTACAAAACAATTTCTTCCTCGTTTTGATGTAAAAGAAAATTGGCATTTTCATTTCTTCAGTGGTTGCAGCACGTAAGAGACCAGTGGGAAGTAGTAGTTATAAACGTGTCTGCCGGTTAGCCAAAGCCTGTCACTACGTTTGAAGGACTTAGAGGGAGATACAGAAGAATGTGAATGAAAATCAAAGAGTCAAAATGGCTCCCGCTGTAACTGCGGGTCACCAGGAGAGGCTCGGCCAGCCCCTGGGTTAGGATTAACACGTGCACCCACCCATATGGACAATTCCAGCCCATGAACTGTTTTTAGTATGGTCTGAAGGAAATTTCAGTATTGTGTGCTAAGTCATCCGACATTTTTTCCCAAACAGCAGAATTTCCTCTCTTCTTCTGGAGAACTTTGCATTTGCAGGGGAGCGTGTTTACAGTGGATTCCCACATCAGAAGCGGTGACATCAGTGATTCCTCTTGCAATTTCCCATCAGTGCCCCAGGGACAGGGCTGGCCTTCCTTTGGTAGCACGCGCTGAGGTCTGGGGACAGCAGGTGCTGTCATACGCCCAAGTGCTTGCACGCCGGGGCGTTAAAGCCAGGGTAAGTCGCAGGAGTCACCACAGTGCTTCGCCTGTACCAGGCTCTGACGGCTCGTTATTTCTCTCTGTATTAATTAACGTGTTGCCCAGGGGTAGCCTTTTGAGTGAGTCATGCTAAATATGATTTCTGTCATTTTTGGGGCTTGCCTTCATGTTCTGCATACACTGACATGCTCTAACACACACTTTATAACAAGCATTGTGAAAACAGATCAGCTTGTTTAGGATTTAAGAGAGGGCTTGGTGAAGTGGTTTGACTATGCGTGGTTTAACAAGCAGTTAAATAAGGTAAATAAAGAAAATTTACCAGTTAGCTTGTCACTAGTCTTATAGGTGTCTGATGAACATCAGCAACTGAGCTGATTGCAAAGTGATCATCTGCTCTGGCTGCCAGGTGCTTCTTTGCTCATCCAGTTACCGGTTAGATTTTCAGATGGCCATCAGAAGTTATCAGTTTTCTGATCACTCAGGCATGGCTCGGGTGTATGTGGAGATGAATCAGATGTTAGTAGGATATTTTCAGGCCCAATCTGTAGAAAACAGCGTGTGTTCCCAGGCAAGGCCTCTCACGAGTTTACGACTCTGCCATGGCTTTCCCAAGGAGACACCCCTCACCGGAGAGACGTTAAAGGTTTGTTGCAAAGATGCTTGGAGCTGATCCGACTGAGGTCGCCTGGGTGGAAAATAAGTGTGTGCGTGTGCTTATGTATCCCCACACACCACGTGTTTCTCTTCCATGCAGTCAGGAAGCAGATTCGTCCTCCTTCCACATCCATTCCTCAGGCGTGACCCCAGGAAACACCCAACTGAGGTTGTTGGAGGATTCGCCCAGGTGATGGCATCATTAATAGCACCCACGATGAAAGCAGAGCGTCACCCCCCGTGACTGTGTGGAGCACTGCACGATAGCTGGGATGTCTGTAAAATCCGTACGAAATTAACTACAGCTGCACAATAGGTGATTAAACTAGTGTTCTCATGCTGTAACCGAGTTAGCCCTCTTTAATACTCATTTAAGAATTCTTTCTCTTTTATAGGACTGTAATATGCGTGAGCCCGTTCCTTTCCACCCTTCCTATTACTACGCTGCAGCAATGTCCTGTTTAATACCCTGCTCTTATTTTTATTACTTCTTGCAGTCGATCTCTCTTCAGCCTGTGTTGCGTCCCGGGAAGCTTAGCCAAGCAAGAGGGAACTTCTTGGTGGGGTGAGTGATGGAAAAGGAACAGAACCACACCAAATCTGTTCAACTAGTCCCACAGCATGAGTATCTTTCCCAGAGAAAGATTGGCACAGGGTGGATTCCCCTCGTTCCACTTCTGTCTTCACACTTCTGAGCCCGCCTACGTGGAGGAGACGATTATGTCACTTCGTCAGTCTCCTCAGGTCCTTTGGTGGGATGGGAGCCTTCCTACTAAGCCTCAGTGGAGCTGGTCTGTGACCTGCGTAAAGCCTGGGAAGTCTGAATCCTGCATAGTGAGAGATGTCCCAGGCTTTCTTTAAACGGGCTGTAAACAAAAACAGGTTTTCAAAGAAATCAGAGAAAGCAAGAATCCCCATTGCCAGCTGGTATCGCTGGAAGCTTGTGGATTTCTCACTCCAGGAGCAAGACCAGAGCCCTTTGGGTTCACCTCCCATCAGTGGCAGTCTGAGGTCCCGAGGAATCGTTGTGCTTCTCTAATCTGATCAGCAAAACACAAGCCGGAGAATTTCACTGTGTGGTTCCTGGGCAGAGTTCAAAAGCCTGTGTGTCAGCCTGGCTACAGGAGGAAATGTCATGCCACTTCGACTTAAATACTTCAAAGGAGAAAGAACTGAGCCTATCCCGTAATGAATTGTTGCAATGGTTAACTGTCCTCGCTGCTAGCAGTGCCCCTTTTGCTTTCTAGCCTTTGGAATCCATCTTTTAAGATTTTCTTGACAATTTCGAGGATTGGAGACCTGTTTTCATTTTTAATGAGCCTGGCATTCTTCTGTAGTACTAATCTGCTGGGACATGGGGCTCTGAACAAACCATTTACAATGCAAGGCCGGCAATAAAAAGGATGGAGCTGGAAGGCCTGATCCTGCCAAATTTCCCAGTCCTTTCCACCAGGAGAGGATAACGACCGAGCCGTATTGTTTTTCCTAGCAGATGACCGAAGACAGCTTGCTGGAAAACGAATGCCTCCGGATCAAAGGCGCTCACTAGATCGCGAAATGAAACAGATTGAAATGCGCTTAGCCAGAAAAGCCTCCCCTAAGCTCCCCTCGGTCCCCACTGGGCCGGAGACGCCTCTCACACCGAGCTCTAATCCCGACGGCCCCGTGTGTGCGGCGAGGAGCTTGGGGAGCCCAGCCCTGGGCACGGGAGGGCTGCTGGAAGGCGAGCGGCATTCCACGTCTGCCTCGGTCCACCCACGCCAACAGGAAGGGGGCCGTGCCAGATGATAAGTCCGACTTACCATCCCGGGGAGCTAGATGCCAGAGAGGCTTGTTTGCATTTCCACGGGGGTTTCTAATTAAGGGACGTGCTTTAACTGTGTTTTCGATGGCTGCACATCCAAATGACAGTTTGATATGAGCAATTTGTCTGGCGGGCTAGATAAATTCATACCAAAGCGAAAGGATTTTCCGTTTTAAATGGGTGCACATCCTTAGCTGCGAATTGGATCAAACATTCCTGTAACTAAAGAATCCCCTTTATGTAACAATTTCTCTTAACCTTCATTCTTTGCACTTCTACTGATCAAAGTCTCTCTTCCTCCTGATTTGTCCCCAGTCATTGACTTTGCCAAGTGCTTGCTTTTTTTTTTTTTTTTTTCTGAACTCTCATTCTGGTTCCAATTTGATGAATGAAGGGAAATGTGTATTCCCATTCCTGCTGTCCCACCCAGCCCTAACGAGCGGTAGCATTGTGTGAGTGCCTCCCGGGGGAATTGCTACCTGCATAGCCGCTGGGCTGGGCTGCTGCAGCTGGCTTTCTCCCGAAGCTTTAGTTTCTAGAGATGGGATCCAGTCTCGAGAACAGGTACAGTGAGGGAAGGTGCCAGTGTCTCTCTGTCTGGGTGATAAGGCTGTTAGCTGCCGTTTGTTTCTGCAGTGCTGGAAGTCCGTCCAGCCGTGCCAGATGATGCTTTTGGTTAAAGCCACGCCAGTTTTTATCGCAAACACAGAAAGATCAAAACCACGTTCGTGCTATCCACGACAAGCAGAGGTGACGTGGGCAGACGTTAAGTGGCTTTGTTCCTGTGTGAGCCCTCGTATTAAACGTTCCTGATAACTTTGCCAGGTTCAGCCAGTGAGACCTGGCTGTGTCGTGTAGGTTAATGAAGGCTGTGAGCTTTGAAGGCTACGTGGCTGCATGTTCTCCCTTCGCCCCATCATCACATGGCACCTCTCAAACTATGTCTGAGCGGAGAATACAGTTATTTTGGGTGCCGTCCCAGAAACTTATCAGGTGAAGTGCAATTAATGAATCAAGAGCCTTATAAATATCTGCCCAGAAGCAGCAGGTACTCCTTTGGTGACCGAGGACAAGAATTTCATTCAGAAGAACGGCACGCAGGAAGCTTTCCTTACATCACTTGGTCACGGAGTGCATTTCTCTCGCTTCTGGAGAGGTTTTATTTTTGCTATGCCGTTAAAAATCTGCTTGGAGCTTGGCAAATCGCAGCGCTGGAAATCTCTGTATGTGCTTGTGTATGAGACGAGGGAGACGGAGAGTGGGTACAGGGACCGAGGGAGGGAGATGGTGTGATAAGGTGGAGAGGTGAGGTTGGGTGTAGAAGCTGTGCCCTTTCCTCTCCAGGGACACCCCATCCCACTACACCTGACTTCCTCACCACCTCTGCTACCCATAATGGAGAATGCCTAAGGCTGGGGGAGAAAATAATTGGTTGGGCACAGAAAAAAACCCTTGGACATCACTGCCTGCACCCCGAGGACTTCAGGCACGGGCCGTCCTCATCTGTGCATTCTCTTAAGTGCGGAGTGATTGAATTTGCAACTGCACGAACAGTCGCTGAACGTAGGCTTGGTAAATAGTTCAGAGCAACAGGGAAGGTTTGCAGTGTTCAGAAGGGAACAGCTTTAGCAGATAAGCAATTAGAGATAACAAGAGTGGGGAGCACGGGGCTGAAATACCCATGTTTATTAATCGAGCCAAGAGGGAAGGGCTGTCTGCTGTATTCCTCTTTTCTCTGTGTTAGATGGTCCCAAAAGACATCGAGGCTCCGGTGCCGGGCACTGAAGACTGCTGCAGGAAGATGGGATTTGCATTAGGAAGCTCGCAGTTCAACCAGACGAGGCAGACAGAGTGGGAGAGGAGCAGGAGCGCTGAGAGGTAAAGCAGGTGGCGATGCTTCGCGGCAGAGCCGACGGCTGCACTTCTGAATCCCAGTGCACCGATGGATCTGCGAAATTGCACTGCCGTTTGCGCTCGTACTGAAGCCAAGAGGAGGTCTGAGTAAATGCTCAAGGCTCGAGGCACTGTGGGATGTCTGCCCCAGAAAGCAGGACCCAAACCGGGTTGGTTTGATTTCGAAAGGAAAAAGCAAATGGATCGGTTCCTACTCCGGCTGGTCCTGCCTGCCACACCGAGCGCTCTGTTAGGAAACGAGAAATCCCATTAACACGAGGAGGGCTCCAGCCCAGAGCCCCGGGGGGAGATGCAGACATACTGAAAGCTGTTTGTGTTGGCCGAGAAGCACACAGGTTAATAGGAGCTCTAGCATTTACACAGGGCCTCGAAATGTCCTCGGCGCTTCGCACGACAAATAAAAGAAGTTGTTAATGACCTCTCCCGAAGATTTCTATAACGCAGCAAGGGCAGAAGCTTTGATGCCAGACCACGTGAGGGCAGTTAGAGCAGGGAACACACCACCTTTGTGTTCTGCCTGCCCGGAGCAGCCCCTTGCTCCGAGGGCATCGCTTTACCCAATGTTTGTGCAGTCAAATTCCAGACTAGATTGAGCAGGAATTTCTACGAGTCCTTTTGTATACAAATCCTGACTCTTCTTCCCTTCCATCACAGAAAGCTGAGAGTGCCAATGCGCTCCGAGGTCTGTTTGGAGGGTTTTGCTGGTCATTGTAAGAAATGAAAGTTCCTCAATTAATTTAAGTGCTTCGTTGCCTTTCGGCGGGGCGATGTTTGACTCCCAGCAATAAAGCCATCAGGAGAGGCGAATCTGGGGAGTTATGTCACAGCTGAGCAGGAGTATGACAGCATATGTTTTAGTTGAGTTTATTTAGGACATCCTGCTGCTAAAATCAGCCTACAGAACGGTCAGATTTCACAAAAGTAACATTCAGGCTATTTGTGCTCAATTAAACGTTTATTTAAAATTTCCCCTTGGTTTACTGATGTAAATGCATTGTTCATTTTTCACATACCGAGCACGGTTGTTTAGTCTCAAGGGAATTATTGTTACAAATTTAACAACTGTGACATATTAAAAAGCACATTTAAGGAAGAAATTAAGGGCTGAGAGGATGTGACCAAATGTTTCCATGGTGTTTTGCCAAAATGTCACTTACATGCCAACGCGATTCTAATAGGGATCGCTCTTTCAGAGCTCATCTTGCCCACCGAAAAAAAACATAAAATAAACCTTGCCTGCATCGGTAGCAGCCTTACTTTCGTTGCCCTTGCCAGAGAATCATTTCCGACGTTTTATTTTCATTTTGGAAGCTGCTTTTAACTGCGATGACGGCGCTGGCGGCGCGATACGCGGCTGATGAGCGAGGAGGAAGGCGATGGCTCGGAGCAGGGCTGTGAAAAGTCTCCAATTAGATGCTTCGAGGAGGCACCTGTGTCCCTAATTAACAGCCAGCCCCTAACCTCAGGAACGGATTTTCAGGAAGTTCTTTGTTCTTTGAAAGTCAGGCCCCAAACCGGGCGATGAAAAATAGGAACCTGAAACAGTGACTGATTAGTTCGGAGAAGCTCGAGCCTGACGTCAAAGCAAATTGCGAAGGGTGCGTGCGCAGGTCTGGGAACCCGTGTCTGTGTTTATTTTTCTCTAGTTTCGTTCGCCTTTTTAAAGTTATCAAAACAAGGTTTTCCAAGAAGCAGTTTCTCATGTATGGCTTTCTATGATCAGAGAGCTTTCAGGGAGGGTTGGAGTCATAGAAAGCATTCCTGGGAGATACAATTAGATCTATTTTAACCTCAAGTAGGTTTTCTAGAACTGCTTTTCTACCTGCATGGACAACGCCACCTGGAAAATGCCTCGGTCTGAAAGCTCCACTGTGTGATTTTCTCCTGGCTGAGAACCAGCACTCCCAGAAGGTGGTGTGAGCAAGATCAGGGGGTCTCCTGATCCCCTTCTCGCTGTAGGGTCCCGGCTGCCCCACTCTCAAAGGCAGGAGGAGCAGGGCCAGCTCCCTTCAGCCCTGCAGGCTCAGCTGCCCTGGGGCTGGTGGCCCGGGGCTGCACGTAGCCATCCTAGGGACAGGGGTGTGGAGAGCCTGGCTGCTGCTGCTGAGCGATCTGGTGGGCAAGCTGGGGAACAAAGCTTTGCTCTGCTTTGGGAACCCTGCCTGGGATGAATCACTTTGAGATGCTAAAGATGGCTTTTGGTGGCAATGCTGAAGTGCAAACCAATGCCACTGCCTCTTCTCGTAGGCTAGGGCAGGGAAATATAAACGTGCACACTGAAAAAAAAAGTGAATTATCCCAGTAATTAGCACTGGTGACAGCATTCCACGATGCCAGGCTCGCTAGAAATCTGTACCAGCGGGGATCGATGAAAAGTCTGTTCCTCTTCTCAATTTTGAAAAATGATGCTCTTTTTTTTTGCTTCTGTTTCCATGCAGGTGAGTGGCTCCACATGGCTGAGCACCGCAGTGTCCTGCAACCACGTCCCATGCAACCACCTCCCTGGGAGAGGAGGGAGCAGCCCCCTGCGATGTTTGCCTCCCCACGAGCAGGACTGGGGGCTCTCACTTCCACGGCAATGCGTGGCAGAGTCTGTTTGTTTAGTTCTCCTGCGAGGCAGTGGTAATGTACATCCAGGAGAATATAATTGCTTTCCTCTTTGTCCTGAAGCTGTAAACTATTTTCAGTTGTATTAAAAAAACACAGCGTAGGAACAAAACATGTTTGAGAATTATAACTGCCATAGCCTCAAGGTTTTCCTGATTTTTCTCCTCTGAAGAGCTTGGTCCTGCCACGTGCAGGAATGTCTTCATCGCATCGTGTCCTGTACAGCAGCATGGGATCAGCTGGGGGACCACGGGGGAAAGGACTGCAGAGGCTGCTTTGGCTGCAGTAGGGTCAGTGAGGCAGCAGCTCCTTCGGACAGTTCAAGGGCACCCTTGTGATTTGGATGTGCTCGGCAAGCTGTACATCATTATGGAGCCATTAGGGCCGTGGCTTGGCAGCAGCTGTGACATTAAAATGTATAAGATGTTACCAAAGGAAGCACTTGGCAAAATGTTTTTGGCTTCCCTAGACATAAACAACAAATTTTCTCTACAATGGTAAGTTATGACTGGGGGTGAGTCACTAATATATTTAGAAGGATGTCCTCTCCAGAGACCACAACTGGCTAAATTAAGCCAAGACCGGGTAACCCTCGTGGTTGAGGGGCACAGTGGGGAATTCCCAGATGGTTTCCTGAGATCTGCCCGTTACACACCGCTGCCATTCCACGTGAGAACTCTGCAGGAGCTCTCTGAATCTGTGCAGGACAGACCTTCCAGTGCTAGAAATAGGCATCAGCAGGCATACTAGTGCGGGATGTCTTAGTCTTGTGGATTCCTGGTAGCTTCAGGGATGTGCCCGTCGTCAAACTCAAAGGGCAGTCTGAGCATCCTGTGGCTATCTGGAGATAAAATGTATTTTTGTGTCTGAAAAGCCATTTCTGAAAGTTTGATTTCCACTTTTGGGTTAACTTAGTGCTCAGGAGCTTTTATAGCCCAGGCTGTAAGATAAGTTCTTTATGTTACACCTTGCCTTCAACGAGAAAGTGTGGTGAAGATGTAGTGTCATGGTCAGTTCAGAAGAATCCACAGAAACGATCTGCAGCTTGATGTGTATCTTCATTCCTGGGCAATGTAGTAACAGCTTAGCTTGTACAGCTGATTTAACAAAAATATTTATTTCAGTGAAATTAATTCCAGCTCACTTTTAGTTTCTTCTTTTAGAATTTTTCCTTCTTCCTTCATTTGGCTCTTGATGAGGTGAGAGCTGCAGTGATGGCATGCAGAAACTCTTGTTTGCCATAACATCGTTCTGACAATGCAGGCTTATGAGGAGGACCATAAGGCTGCATGTGGCCATATGCACTGACACACCAACACCACGATGTCGAAATTCAAGTGGAAAGGACTTCACATCTGCCTGGTAATGCAACAAAGCAATATGAACATTTTCATAAAACATTCTGAAACAGTTTGGTTTGGCTCGCCATTCAGATACTCAAGCCAAAGAGACTGTCCTGAGAGTGGTGTGAGTATAGAAGCAATACAGAGCAGTAAATGAGGTTGCAGGATGTGCAGGGCCATTTTAAGAAGGCAGTTAATGGGGCAGAGCTTTGTAAAATCCCTTGGTTTTCTGCCTGTGCCCACATACCTGAAAAAACATAAGAATCCCCAGCACACAATTGTTGTACAGTTTGGGGACATTGTTTTCATCCTGATGCTCCCTAAGAAGATCACAAGAAGAATGACCTTTACTTGATTTTTTTTTCCTATTTATTTGATGATTTTCTCGATTATCCAAAGTTTAGGAATAGATGCTTGCCAAGTACTGCAAGATGGTCAAAGAGTGAACTTAATTCATCTGTCCATCACGAAAGACATCAGCAGGGATTTTTAACCCAGCAGCAGAAGAAATACCATGAACTGGTAGGTGGGAACCTCAAGGTGACCCTTTCTGAACATCAAAACTTAAACAAGTATCAACACTGAATAATGAAACATTGCTGCATTCTACCCCTACCTCAACCACAGCTGAGTGGGGTACAAGCAGGAACTGGAAGTTGGAATCCCACTGCCATTGGGACAGAAGTTGAATCTGACTGGTTTTAACAATTCCTTCAACCCTCGATACTTTTTATTGCAGCTGGACTTGCCAGACTGAGCCTGTTGGGGTCCTGGGTTACTGTCTGTGTATGCCTGGACAGATTTTTATTTGCATGCTAGTTTGGGAAATGGTTGTCCTTTGTATGTGTACTTGTATTTACATGTGAACAAGAGTATTTGTTCTTCATCAGCCTTTGTTCTCCTATTTTTAAAAGGCTTACTCATCCCCTCAAAGATTAGAATCAGCTCCATCTGATTTAGGTGACAGTTCTCACCCCATGAGCAGCAAGAAATTGAAATGAACTGTTTCTGGAATGAGCCGTTGTTGATCCAGGCTGTCCAACAAGTACTTGAATAACAAATATCTCTTACCAAACCAATGTTGGTTCGTGAACAGAGAAAAAGAATGAAGTTCACTGGATTGCTTGTTTGCAAAACACAGTTCAGCCCTTTCTTTGCCAAAGTCTAGCTGTCAGGAACTAGATCCTTAACTGCTATAAACCAACTCAACTCATTGACTTCAGCGGGGAGGTGACAATTTACATTAAGTGATCATCCAGCCTCCAAAGTGCAGCAGGACAGCAGTGTGAAAAAAACAAATGAGGGGGAATGGTAGCAAAACATTTCAGGATAGCCAGAAGAGATTTCTGGGATAAATTGCAGATACGGTCTGTTTTTTGCAAAGATAAGTTTTTTTCATCTCTTATCTCCCCTTTCTCTTAGTGCTAGCAAAGATCAAATGGGAAGCAAAACTTGTGAGGAGGGGCAGGGTTAACACGGGTGATGCAGCAGGGGGAATGGACAGCTTTGGGAACAAATCTCTTCCTCTTGTCATTTTTTTGTTCTCCTTTGTATCAGTTGGTTCGACAAGGATTGGAGCTGGTTCTCCAGCTAGAAAAATTGCTGTGCTCATGTTGCTGGATCATCACGGCTGCAGGAACACCATCTGATCAAACACATCAGATTTTCCACTGAAGCTGTGTTTATTGGCTTAGCAGCGCAACTGGCGTGAGTGTAGAAATCCCAGCAATTTCCAAGGTTTGAAACGGAATCAGTTGCTTGATCCTCTCCTCTCTGGTTCGGTCATGAGGCAGTTGTATAAGGAGGCATCGCGGCCAAAGTGGGAACACTGTGAAAGAGTGAATTCTTCAGACCAAGAGAGCATTGTTGCAGTGTTCAGCACGGTATGGTGGTGCAGAATTTTAGTTATTTTTAATTTCTTATCTGTCTTGGTAATTATTATGTGGGATTTATGCCTCCTTGAACTCCAAGTAGGTGAGCAAGAGCAACTGAGCAACTTTCTATGAATATTTCTGGAGCTAATTTACTATCATTTAGCATTCATAATTTGCTATCATTTAGCATTCGTGGCACTTGGAAAGAGGAATTAAATAAGGCACGTAATTACAGGTTATTGGCATTATTTATTACCAGTGTTGTAATGTTTAGAGGCCATTCTCAAGTTGCTTTTCCCTATAGCTTACACAAATATGTAAAAAAAAACAACACAGTTCTCCAAAATGTTTTAGTTCAGGAACACTGTTAACAGAAATACCCACCAAAATGTAAAGCAAGATCTCTTCTCCAATGCACAGACACTGGCTGCTACTCAGGGTCTGCCAATGCCTGACCTTATTGCTCACTTGCCATTCATGTTTCGTGGATGAAAAAAATGTTGGTATGAGATTTCCAAATTACTGCTGCAGCAAGTGATGCCAGCAGAAGTGTTTTGAAAGAATTGATCTGTAAAATTGTCTGAATGCCAGGGCACACACTGCATACTTTAATAGCTGACGGGCTGGGGAATCTCAGCCTAACTGTAGGAGGCATTTCTAACACACTTCTGGGGAAGGTAACAAAAATCTGGGAGTTGGCTGTGAGGCTTTAAGCCACCTTAAAATGAGGTTAGTGAACAGCTTCTCCATTATCCTGTTACATGTCAGGAGTCCTTCCACATCTGTTCCAGGGGAATAGCCCAGCTCCAACAAAGCCGTAGTGGCTGAAGGTTTGGCCCAGGAGATGTATCCAAAATCCTGCAAATTCCTCCAAAAAGGAATCCTTCGTCCCCATTAGCATTTCAACACACACTCACTACGGAGATCTCACCGGGGGTAAAGCGTTAGAACCCTTTCAGAAGTGGTTTAGCTGGCTAATTAGACAATAAGCATGAACCTGGTGCATCCAGCTGTACAAATAAAACGTGACTTTAAAGCTTAATGTCCTGCGAGCGGAGTAGTCGTGAACTTGGAGCCAGGACAGGCTGAGGGGAAGGTGGCTGGGCTGGCTTACAGCTCGGTAGTGCTGTGTCTGCAGGCCGAAACCTTTGGAGACCCAAAAGAGAGTTTATTTTGCGCGGAGCTGAAAGGAACTAAGTACCAGTTAGCACAAATAGGGCGATCTTTATCTCCCTTTGTTGGCCTGCGTGGAGGGAAAAGAATCTGCAAAGATTGGCGCAGCCGCAGGCTCTGCAAAGAGGAGATCTCCCTCACATTGCTGACATGTCTCTCATTTTTTGGGTGCTGCCTTACTGCTGAAGGAAATTAACAGGTCATTGTAATGCCCTTGGCTCCTGGGTAGGTGTGATCAAGTAGCTAAATGCTTACAGAACTGACATTGCTCCCCTCCGCCCTAACGCGTCCCTGTTTAAGGAAATTCGGGTTCCTCTTGGGCACTTTTTTGGCTTTGGCTATCTCGGAGCGGCACCTGTAAGCGCTCACTTTGAGAGATTGCTAATGTGCTAATTACCCGGGACCCAAAAATGCAAGCTGTAAACAAATGAGGGCTGTATTTATAATCAATCAATTTTATGACCTTCTGATGGCGATGATATCAGTGGAGTTTACATTGGGAGCCCTTGTACTCCCCCGGGGCAGCTGTGCCCTTATGTTTTACTTGCAGTTGGAAGAAGATTTTGCTAATTCCCTTTATAGGAGGCGTGCTGAAGAAAAATATTACCTTTCCTAAACAGCTGAACCCGTCACCAAGTCTTTTTTAACAAAAAGTCTTGTTTAACAAAAACACGGGGACTGTCAGTACCTCGAGGCTGTGTTGTCAGGGGATGGGCTGTTTTCAAAACAGCCACGGCAGAAAGCGGTGACTTCAGAGCAAAATATTGTTCTTGTTGGTATAAGTTGCTGCGAGACAAATCCCACACCCCCTGATGTCCGTGGAAAGACTCAGGTTGACTTCAAAGAGGCCTGGATCAGGCCCTAAAAGAAATGTTGCCATCGTAAACCACCACAAACGCTTTATGGTTCATGTGTTTTAAAACGTTCTGCTCGCTGGTGATCTTCTCTTCAGTCTACCTGGCTGCATGTAACGTGTGAGTTTTGTGTTTGCTTTGCAGTGACACAAGAATGCCCATAAGGTCGGATTGGTGACGTGTCAAAATGATGTCCTGGAAGGCCACACGATGCCAAGGTATACGAGGTGCCCTGTAATACCTCCGCACGAGGAAGGCCATCCAACTTCCCCGATGTTGCTCAGTTCTCACAAAGAAAAACAATGCTGTTTAGCCACAGGCAGATGGAGTAACAACAGCTGGATTTGGTGCCCTTGTTCTTTTATTGGAATCGTTCACTTTTCCATCTAAATGCAGGTTAGAGTGTGAGGACAGAACTGTTTCCTACGCTTTCCAAAGCTCTGATTTGAGCAAGTTTTAAAAATGGGACAGGATGGGGGGCTCTGTGTCTGTGGTTATGAGCCCCTCGAGCTGGAAGCCCAGAGATAACTTTATTAGCTCCAGACCAGCAGCAGATGCGAGCCATTCGGTGAAAGCTCTTTCAGCATCGTACCCTGCTTTAAATGTGGGTTATAAATGTGATTTGTTCCTTAGTGTTGTCAAAGATATGTCTCTACAGAGAGGATCAGAGCTGCATTTTGTCCTGCCTCGTATCCCCTGTGAGCAGATGCCTGAGAAGACCACGCTGGAGCCCTAAGGTTGGATGATCGATGAAATGAGCCAACCAAAAGGTGCTCCAGAGAGCTCCCCGGCTCCTACAAGTGAGCAGAGCGCTCCGAGAGCCCCTAGGACGGTAAGGAAAGCTTAGGAAACCCAGCTTTTGTGGCCCGTGGGGCAGGCAGCCGGACTGGCCTTTTTAAAAGAGAACCTGGCTCTAGATTTATGTGCGGGACTGGATGCAGCCCTCCTGGAGCTGAGACAGCCAAATGAGTGAGATGGGGAGTGAAATACTTTATCCTTGCTAGCAGGGGTTAACGACTCCTGCCCTCTCCCTTCTCCCTGCTCAAGTTTTCCCTTGTCCCCTTCTCCATCCCCAGTCCCCCGCTGCACCTCGGTATTTTCTGAGCAGTGGCACCACCTGGTTTGTTTTCTCTGTCAGGTATATTATGGGCTGTCTGTCAGAGGTTAACTGCCCCACAGCCCAGCCTCTTCCCCTATTGTACCTGGGCTAAACTCCCTCCCTGCCCGAGCGCCTCTTGGTATGCTTCCCAGACTGTGGTGGTACCTGGAGAAAGCAGCTCTTTTGGTCCTTTTGGGTTCCTCAGTGGTTAAGAGGGTGCTGCCTCTGCCTGTTCGTGGTCTTGGTGCCTCTCCATCCTTCTGCCTGTGTGCTGGAGTCCGAAAGATGTGAATTTTCCTTTGGTCCCTGCTGATGCTGGCTCTGGCCATGTCCCCCGTCCATGTCAGACCGAGGAGAGACTGACAAAACTCTCTCCTTCCTGACAAACCTTCCTCTCTTCCTCTGCTGCCTGCAGGGAGGGGAAACTCCAGCTCGAAACTCCAGCTCACAGCTGAAATGGGAGCCTGGGGGTGATGGTGCAGGTGCTTGCCCCTGGGGCAAGCAGAGCCTTCAGGGCTGGGCCAGGAGAAGGCACCCTGCTTCTTGCAGGGCTGCAGCCACACAAAGAGGAGGCGAAGAGGGCATTTAGTACCTCTGCCTGAGGGGCAGCTGCAAAGACAGTGTGAGCAAACTCTTCTGGTGGTGGCAGGTGGTATAAAAGGGCAGTGGACACAAATTGCAGCATGGAAAATTCAAGTTGGACATCGGGATAACTTCCTTCTAGGAGGGAAATGCAGCACTGGAACAGGTGGAGTGAGGAAGGAGGGAAATCCTCATCCCTGTTTTTTCTTTTAAAAAAATAATCAGCTAGAACAGTATTTGCAATGAGGATGACAATGACAAAATGAGGACAAAAATTGCAGTGATGATGACAAAGTATGACAATGAGGACGTCTTACTGTAAATCCAAAGGACCAAACTAAACCTTTCCTTGCATCAACTCTCCAGATTGAGAAAGAAATATCAGCACAAAGCAGCTCTCGAAGTGACCCCTTGTACATGAGCACCAGGACAGGGACCATTATTTGTATCTCCACGCGCTGGCATGCCCTTGGACCAGTGCCCTGCTTTGTAACGGAGAGAAATGCATGGGAACAATTCCCGTTCCATTGGTGTGGTGTCTGTGAGACTCCTCCCTGCTGGTGCTTCAGCAGGGAACTGTGATGAACGAGGGACTGGGTGGTCCCAACCCTAAGGTGTTGTAACACTGCCTGGGAAAATGAGGCAGTCCCTAGGTGGGGCCGTCCCTTAGCTGGACATGTCCTGGGGCCACTGTTTGGGTGCTGATCGCCTTCCCTGACTTACGATCCTACAAATCTGGTAATGCAGGATTACACAGGGCCACCAGCAGCCACTTTATTCGACAAGAGCGGTATGTTGAATGCATAATGCAGTGTATAATGCTAAGTACCATGGATAATCATGGCCTGGGTATATCGAATTGGGCTCTGAAAATTGATGGGCACTTTTGGCCTCCCTTCTGTGCCTCAGCTCCTTGCCTACACAACGACAAGTGTACCGCTTTCCCGTTTTGCAGAGTGATTGATGAATATTGGGCAAGCGCTCGTGTCCACTGAAATGCTCTTTAGGAAAACCTAGAGAGAAATGATTAACCCTGCCTTCAGCAGGGTTTGGGTTGCAAACAAAGGGATAGACAGACTTAGCATGTAGTGAGGGGGGGAGCGAAATACTGAATAGCTGCTCATTCATTCCGCACTGTTCACCCTGTTTGAACGCAAAAATGGTCTGAAATGATGCTGTAATGAAGGAGCACATCAAGAGACATAGGCACAAGGGAGCTGTAGCGAGATACCCGCTTCCTTTCGTTTACCGTGCTAGATTTTGAAATCTAAATGCGGACTTTTTTAAACGTCATTTTAAGTGTGGCTCCTAGGGACAGAAAGCTTTTGTTCAAATAAAGGTCTAGAATTTGATTAGCCACGAATTACCTCCTTTTTCCGTCTTTTAAATGAATGAATTCTTACAAGGCTGTGCCCAGAAGTGAAATACTTGCCAATGCAGGTACTAATGCAACTTCAGAGAAAGAATCAAACTGTATGAATTTAGGGAACAGCCTTCTGTTTATATAGCTTTAGTTACCGAATCAGAAACAGTAGCTTGTGTCAAGTGATTCAGAGTACAGAGCAAATACAAATATCTGGATTAATAGGTGCGGGGATCAGCTGAAGTCACATCTATAATTCAAGGCTATTTATGCAATACACTGCATAATTCTGGTAAATCATAAACTGCAGAGCCTGACCACAGGTTTTTCAGGTTAAGGTTTTCTTTTTTTCCACGTGATTCGGGATGAAAAGAGGACCCGAAATACAGTGGGTTAGTTGTTAAATACTAGAGGGAAGTTTCCCAAGTGGAACAGAAGGCAGAAGGATGGAGGCCTGCGATGCAGAACAGCATAGATGGAATATGAATCAGGACCAGTTCTTAGCTCAAAAGTAACAACCGGGCTATAGTTGGTAATAATAAACAATGCTGTTGTTGACATGCATTTTACAAAGGTTAGGGTTGATTTTTGTCACCAGAAATATTTTTCCTTGGCCCTGCATTTGCTGCATTTCTCCGAATATTTCGCGTTGCCTATTGGCCTCTGGAACGCTAGAGCATCTCTAGCATCACTGAGTGTCTCTTTGCCAAGTTCCAGGAATAGAAGAGCAGCTACCAAGAAAGGTCTTTTTTCTGGTGTTCCAACTTGCACAGTGAAATGCAAAGCATTTGAAAAATAAGTCTGGGAACTTGGCTTGTGCTCCTTGGGGATTACCCATCCATTACCCACTGCCTCTCTCAGAGACCAGATGGCGGAGCTGAAATGGGGAGGTTTCACGAGAGGAACAACTTCCCTGGCTGGTTTCATCCGTCTCCAGCGAGGAGCAGTAACATCTCGCTCAAACGGTGCGTGGTTTCGCATTGTCCCTGCCGTCCTCCTCCCAGGCATGTGGCTACCAGATCCTCATTCACACACAGATAAAGAGGAGACCGTTTCCCATCTCGTGGTCTTGTGGTGTTGTCGGCCGCCTCCGACCAAAGCAAGCCAGGACACGTTGGGATTCCTTAGCTGCTGCCATCTGGACCATGCTGTGATCATAAAGGACATCAGATGTGGCCATCTTTCAGGGCTAATTGCTTCCCAGAGAACAAGGAGCACAGACCTGGATCTGCTGGTGTCCCGGCCTTCGGCAGAAGTGGCAGCAGCATCTGGGGCAGGACAATTTTAATGCCCTCCATTTCGGTGTGCTGCCACAGCTTAGAAGGGGAAAAAGCATGCCCCTTACAGTAGGTTCACTTTGTGCTTCAGATTTTGATCCTTTCTGCCTTTCTTTTGTACTCAGGAGTGCTTGGCAGGCTAGGAGGTAATGGCAAGGTAGCTTCAGATTTGTCTTGACAAGTTTGCAGGTTTATCACCGTGGGCTAAACACTCTGCCAGCCGTGCTGAAGACGTGACCTGAGGTGGCAGGGTAGCTCTAGCTGTTTTTTCTCTGCCTTTCGTAGACCCCTGTGGATGGATAAAGGTTATTCTTTGGCTCACAGGGTATGCAGAAGTGCCTTCAGCCCGGATGGCAAGACAGAACACAGGACAGAGGGAGAAGACGAATCAGTGAGCTGAAGACACTCCTTGCAAAGCACTGCTCTCTGTGTTCTCAGAGGGATTTTTCTGGGACACTCAGTATGTACAAAATTGGCAAGAAAAAAACCTTTTCCTTATTTCTTCTTGCTATCCCATTCCAAAATCCTCTGCAATCCTGGGGAAGGACTCATGGTCCTTGCGCCCTTTCCCTTGAGTAACACCGTAGGCTTTTCCAGCCACCCTTATATAACAGGAAGGTGTTGTATAACAAGAAGGAACTAACGAACACAACTGGCTGAGCTCCTAAAGACCAGACTTCGTTGTCTCAGTCAGTTTCACCATCACTTTTGGTTCCGCCAGGTGGTCAGAATCAAGGTCCTGAAATTTTCTCCCTTGCTCTCATTTCTCTATTATGTTTAATCAGCCTCTCATTAGGCACGAATTGATATTCAGTTTTCATGGGAGCTCTTTTTTTTTGACCCGTGCAAACAATTAATGGTTATTCTTAGAGCTGGAGCGTAATGCCTTGCGTGCAGCTGCCTTTGATTATCATGTTTCTGAGGCCCCTCTATTATTTTGCCCTCTCAGTGAAGCCTTATTTGATGGTGTAGTCACAGATAGCACTGCGCAGACTTCGCAAGGCTGAAGGAACAGAGTGGGTCTGGTCCCCAGGAGCTGGAGGTTTCAGCCCTGCTGTGTGGTTGCCCATGACTGCTGCAGAGGAGGATCTGGAGCTCAGTGGCAGTGAAGCAGTGAGGGAGTTTCTGCTGATGAATCTTGGGTCCTGGTGGCCACCAGCATGACTCCTGAGTGTAAATCGTTCAGATTTTCCTTTTTCCACCTTTATCGGGTTGTTGGTTGGGGTTGTGGGTCTAACACATTGAGACAAGCAGCTGGGGAAGGACGTGAGCGGGGAGGGTTTGATGCCTGTGAGATCAGGACCTCATGTGAAGCTAACTAACATTTGGGCTGTCTCCTGCAGAAGTCCAGAGCAGCCTTGCTGACTTGTAAGATTGCCATGAAAATAATTCCCTTGATTTTTTTCTCCTTTGCTTTATTCTTTTGTTTTTCCTTAAAGCTCCTCAGCTTTAGTAAACCTTCCCACCCAAAACGAAGTGACTAGGACTTCCACTGAGACTAAGGTCAAGGA